TGTTGAATGAAATCCTTTCGTCCTGTAATGAGAAATAAAAGTGACTCATACATTTAACCCTAATAACCAACAAATCTGAGCCTCTGAGTGTCTTTTTAGGCTCAAACAATTAAGTGTGCAGTCAAAATCCCATAAGGATGAAGCCCAATAGCAGTTCAGTCCCCCTGCCTAACCCTAACCCTAACCCTAACCCTAACCCTAACCCAAAACAGCCCGTTCAGAGCGCTCGCTGTGGAGTGCCTGTCTCTTTAAATGCAAATGAGACACAGGCAATCCACCCACAACTTCTGGAATATTATAATGAGCTAGAGCTAATGACGTCAGAAACTACCCACTCCTGAAACCTCCTGATTTATCTCCTGGATTCAGACTGAGGCAGCCCACAAAAACATGACTGAGTCTTTTTTTTCCACACTTTGCCTGCTGATAGGCCCTCCACAGTCTCAAATGTACACAATCACATGATTAAAAACTTGGTTTGGCATAATATGTCCCCTTTAAAAAAAACACCAGAAAAACACCAGAATCCGAAGGGGGTGGAGGCGCTCTGGGCTCCTCAGATGTTCAAAACGTGCAGGAAGGAGGACAGAAAACAACCTGGAGTTTCCTCATTAGTGTTCTTGATATTTGGCTTTAAATCACAGGAGTCAGGAGGGTTTCAACTTGCTGGTTTGATGATAAATATCTGATAGAATCTTGTATAATTTAATCAAACGTGTCCATTGAAATCCATATCAATCACAGCAAAAGTCCCCTGAATGAATATTCAATGACCCAAAGCTTAAAAATAGAGAAAATCATTTAGAAATGAACAGTAAATTCTGATTAAATACATTTTTTGTTAACTATTTTCTTTATTTTTACAAAGATTTGCTCACATATTCACCCCTTTTACACATTCATCCCTATTTATCTGAAAGTTTTTCTTTCCGAAGAATGGTATATTGGGCCGCAGCTGTAGCCTAATGGCTAGAGCGGGCGGACCATGTATGCCTCTGCTCGTAAGCGGGTGTCCTGGGTTTGAATCCATCCCATGGCCCTTTCCCGCAGGTCTCCCGTTCTCTATCTCTGCCCCATTTCCTGTCAAGCTACTGTCATTAAAGGCCACAAGAGCCAAAAAAATTTTAAAAAAAAAAAAAAAAGAATGGTATATTTCTGCATTATTTATTCTTTTTATGGGGGCCACTGCCGGAGGCAAGGCCCACCTATTACTCTTCGAAATACTTATTAGGGGGGCCACTGCCGGAGGCAAGGCCCACCTATTACTCTTCGTCATATTTATTCTGCGACTTATTATCGTTCTCCCGTTTCCGCGGACCACTACTCCCGCACGGTTCGACGGATCGGGCCCAAAGTCGACACGCGCGTCCGGACCCATCTAGCCATGCGTGCTATTACTTATCTTTCTCAAAGGAGCGCGCGTTTCAGAGTAAACGGCGAAAAAGTGGCGAGCGTTTTCCCATAGGAATGCATGGGGGCCGGCGACAAACGGGCCCAAAAAAAGCCGAAAGATGAGGCCCGTTAGGGCCTCATCGCTCTGGCCCACGAGGTCCCAGAGACGTCGTTCGAACATTGAACGGGACACGAAAGACGGGCCTCCGCCATATCAGAGCCACAAGGCCAGATCTCGCACCGTTTGCCCGCAATCGCTGTTGATGTTTTAGTGAAATTCAGAAAATCAGAGATCCTGGCCCGCACTCTAAC